GTATTTAACACCCCTGAACTGTGCGCCCAGAAACGGTTAAGGTGGTATATTCTACGCTATGTGTATTTAACACCCCTGAACTGTGCGCCCAGAAATGGTTACGGTGGTATATTCTACGCTATGTGTATTTTACCACAACTCAAGCCTGAAAAAAAAGAGACTTAAGAACCTAATAATCCAATGCAATGTGTGAGCTTGACTGTATCCCAGCTTAAAAAATCACAGCTATAAAAGCTGGTTTGGGGACATTTCAGTACATTGGAATGCACACTGGGTGACAGGTGATGGCTAGGAATGGGGTTAGTTTTACCCTAGGTGCCTGCTGACGTTTTATAAGGACGGGTGTTGAGTGCTGTGGTATTGCTAAGTCACTTGGAAGTGGGCCAGCAAAAACAGACAGGTAGACAGCTGAGGCAAGTGGGGCAAATGTTGACAATGACTGGACTCTGGAAGTGGGTATATGGATATACATTGTACTATTCTTTCTGCTCTTCATTACTTTGAAACTTTTCTTAATTAAAAGAAAAAATCAATTCTGCACAGCAAAGGAAACCGCCAACAAAATGAAAAGGCAACCTATGGAATGGGAGAAATTATTTACAAATCACATACCTGATAAAGGGTTAACATCCAAAATATATGAAGAACTCACACAACTGAATAGCAAAAAACAAACAAACAAACAAAAAAACAAACAATCTGATTTACAAATGGGCAGAGGAACTGAATAGACATTTTTCCGAAGAAGACATGCAAATGGCCACCGGGTGCGCGCAAGGTGGTCAGTATCACTAATAATCAGGGAAATGCACGTCAGCGCCACGGCGGGGCGTCGCCTTACACGTCGGAAGAGCTGTTACCAAAAGGAAAGAAATAACGGGTGTTGGAGAGGACGTGGAGAAAAGGGAGCCCTCGTGCACTGCTGGTGGGAATGAAATTAGTGCAACCACTACGGAAAACAGTATGGAGGTTCCTCAAAAAATTAAAAGTAGAATTACCATATGATCCAGCAATTCCACTTCTGGGTATTTATCCAAAGGCACGCAATGGGTATCATCAGAAGAGTGGTGTGCATGCCCATGTTCACCGAAGCGCTATTTACAAAAGTCAAGACATGGAAGCAACCTAAGCGGCCATCGATGGATGGATGGATAAAGAAAATGTGGTACATGTAAAATGAAACGTTACTCAACCATTAAAAAGGAAACCTTGCTATTTGCGACAACCTGGATGATACTGAGCTAAGTGAAGTAAGTCAGGCAGGAAAGACAGATACTGTATGATCGCACTTATATGTGGAATCTAAAAAACATGGAACTCACAGATACAAAAACAGATGGTGGTTCCCAGAGGCAGGGGTGGAGGTGGGCAAAATGGGTGAAGGGGGTCCAAAGGCACAAACTTCAGTTATAAGGTCTGGGGATGTAAGATGCAGCATGGCGACTACAGCTCAAAAAAAGAAAAGGATCAAAGGGACCCCACAGGGCTTTCAGGAGGAGCAGGGTCTCCTCTGACCCGGGGTTCCTGCAATCTGGGCTCCACCCAGCGCAGGACTCGCCTGGACGTTTCCAGCATTGCCACGGGTGCCCACCTCCCCAGGCTGGACGCCTCAGGCCCCGGCTGCCCACCCTCCCAACCCGGACGCTTGGCGAGAACTCACGGAGCATTTCTTCGCTGAACATTTCAGTGGAACGGAAAACCTGCCCGTCTGAGCCAGAAACGAGACGTTTCCTTCCAGATCTTTGTTTACCTAAAAAGTAAAACCACCCAACCACGCACATATTCGCAGCCTTCCGCGGTGACATGTGCTGTCCGCACAGTCACAGCCACCACCCCCCGCCCGAGGGAGGGGTCCATGGAGCGCGCCCCCCTCGGACCCGCTAGCATGAGTGGTCACACCTGGCAGCCAGCGACACAGAGGAGCCGCCTTGTCACCCTGCTGGCATTGAGGAACATTCCAATATGTTCTGGGCATAAAACAGCCTAACGGGGGCCTGCGTGACCCCTTCTGAGGCGCGTCCCTCCTCCATCACAGCACTCTGTGGAGCCTGGGGGGCAGCAGAGACCCCGATTCCACCCACCACCCTCTTGCGACAGGGTGAGAAAACCCCCTTTTCCACGGCTTGGGCTCAACACTCACTGTGGGCTTGAAGGTGACAAGCACTTCACAGGACGTGCCGGCTGGCATGGGACCAGGGGGGTCAGAGCTGCAGGCGCAATGAGGGCAGGAGGTGAGCGCCCTGTGCTCGTGCAGAAGCCACTGTCCAAACAGCCGGCACCCCAGCGGGGCTTTGGGGCCCCCCTCTCGCCTGTCCTGGGTGCTGAGCCCCTGCTGCCTCGCCAGGACTCAATTCACAGGAGATGCTCGAGGAACATCTGAGAGTCAGTTGTGTGAGTGAAGGGCTGAGGGAAGGAAGGAAGGAAGCGGGGAGGGGAGGGGGGGAGGGAGGG